CGCCGTGGGCTAAAGCAGACTCGGTCAGGGCACAAAAGAGAGAGTGCCGGAGGGCCGAGCGGAAGTGGCGCAAGTCCAACCTCCAGGTTGATTACAAGATCTTCAAAGATAAGTTGTGCGAGTTTAACCAGGTGCTACGTAGTACGAGAGAAAGGTATTTTTCTGAAATGATTGAAGGCTTGCAGCAACAATCTGCGTGTTGTTTTCAACAGTTAATAGATTAACAAACCCCCCTGTTCAAATGCCATTAGAGCTAACTTCCAAACGTAAATGTAATGAGTTTGCACATTTTTTCAATGACAAGGTTCAAGGCATCAAAAACGCCATTGTCCCCAATCCACAGATAACAATCCAACAGCCAGAAAGGCTCTTTGAGCTAACTTACTTTGCACCTGTAAATGATCAAACTGTCCAAGAGATAATCTCCAGTTTGAGCTCCTCCACATGCAGCCTGGATGTACTACCCACTATATTTCTAAAGTCTGTTCTGAGCAGTCTGTTAACTTCACTCACACAGATAGTAAACATGTCCCTTGATTCTGGAATATTCCCAAAGGCCCTGAAAACTGCAGTCATCAGGCCCCTGCTAAAAAAGAGCAGTCTGGATGCTACGGTACTTAACAACTATCGTCCCATCTCAAATCTGCCATTTATGGGGAAAGTCCTTGAAAAAGTTGTCTACCTACAGCTTACTAGATTTCTTATAATCAACAACTCATTTGATATGTTTCAGTCCGGCTTTAGACCCCACCACAGCACTGAGACTGCTCTCGTTAAGGTTACAAACGATATCCGGCTGAACACTGACGCAGGCAAAGTCTCAATCTTAATCCTGTTAGATCTAAGTGCTGCCTTTGACACTGTCGACCATGAGATCCTCTTACAGAGACTAGAGGACTGGGTTGGCGTCGCTGGCTCCGCCCTAAGTTGGTTTAGGTCTTACCTTGAGGACAGGAAGTACTTTGTGGAGATTGGAAACTGTGTCTCAGATCATATGGCCCTGACCTGTGGAGTCCCACAGGGGTCGATCCTGGGACCTCTTCTGTTCAATCTTTACATGCTGCCGTTAGGTCAGTTAATACGCAGAAACGAAGTTTCCTATCATAACTATGCAGACGACACTCAGATCTATGTCTCACTGACTGCAGGAGAACATGGACCAGTGGACTCACTCCTTCACTGTATCCAACAGATCAGTGAGTGGATGCAAAACAACTTCCTTCAGCTAAACGCAGACAAAACTGAAATGATTGTCTTTGGTCCCCAGAAACAAAGAGAGAGCGTCATCTGTCATCTACAGTCTCTCTCCCTAAAACCTTCAAACAAGGTCAGAAATCTAGGGGTAATACTAGACTCAGACTTAAATTTTAATAGCCACATCAAATCAGTAACATCAGCAGCTTTTTACCATCTAAAAAACATTGCCAGGATCAAAAACATAGTGTCTAAAGCAGACCTGGAGATTCTTATCCATGCATTTGTCTCCAGTAGGTTAGACTACTGCAATGGCCTGCTCACAGGTCTGTCCAAACAGGCTGTAAAACAGCTGCAGTACATTCAAAATGCAGCAGCTCGAGTCCTGACTAGAACCAGGAAGTACGACCACATTAGTCCAGTTCTCAGGTCTCTGCACTGGCTTCCTGTGGCTCAGAGAATAGACTTTAAAACAGCTCTGCTTGTGTACAAGTCTCTCCATGGCCTCGCACCAAAATATATTAGTGACATGTTAGTCCCATATGAACCAGCCCGGACTCTGAGGAGCACAGGGACTGGACTCCTGTTAGTGCCCAGAGTCAGAACTAAACATGGGGAGGCTGCTTTTCAGATTCATGCTGCTAAAATCTGGAACAATCTTCCTGAAGATGTGAGACAGGCCTCCTCTCTGACAATGTTTAAAACCAGGTTAAAAACGGTGCTGTTTAGCTGTGCATACAACTGAGGGATTTTATATTTTTATCTTTTGTTTTAATGTTCTGTAATTATTTATGATTTTAATGCATCTTGTTCAGCACTTTGAGTTGCCTTGTGTATGAATTGCGCTATACAAATAAACTTGCCTTGCCTTGCCTTGCCTTACATTTGCATTGAATAATTCCATTTCCGGGTCCAGCCCTCTGGCCCGGTGTGGTATTGCAAGCATGTCAGCACCCGTCATTTTGGCCACTTTTGAGCCGGGACCCGCCCCCACTGGTGGAAACGCAGCTATTCCATCTGCTACTAGTGGTAGCAGATGGGAAGGACAGACAAAAAGCGCAATGCACCCCACTTTTATCCATTTGTTTTTGATATTACCATCCAGATCCTGTCAGACCTCTGAAGCTGTGCAGGGCAGGGTCTGGTTAGTACTGTGATGGGAGACCTCTGAGAACACCAGGTGCCATATTGGGACTGTAAAGTGCCAAACTGTTGTTGTGTCATTAGTGTGGAGTGAAAGAGAAATTACATATGCATTTTTGAGTGTCCTGAAAAGGGCTATATAAAACCAATACATTATTATTAAAAATAAAGTATGTGTAACAATCACTAGAAAAATCTAAATTGGGAGAGTGGGTAAATTACATATTTTTACATAGACTCCTTATTATCCTTTAACAGGGTCAAAAGCTGGTAAAAGTAAATTTTGCATTTTACGTCCTCTTTCGAGTCGCACACACTCAAATCTTTGACCTCTCCAGAATCGGCCGTCAAAATTTATCATAGACAATTTATGGCTCAACATTCGGGGAGTCTGGGCAATTTAATCACGGCTCAAAGGCAAGGGCAAATGTGACTGCTAGAATAAAGTGGGCGAGGCTGCGCAGAAGGAGAGATAAAGCTGCGTTATCATTAGTCGCCGTCAGTGTGTGAGATTCCGACAACGGTGCCGGCTAAATGTGGGTCAAACTGAAGTCATTTGAATTCATCCGATAGCAGGAGGATTGTGAAAGTGACCATAAAAGACAGTGTAATGTGATGCACCCTGGCTTATCTGCAGGTAGCCTGTGTTGCAGAATGAACGGAGATATTAAACCAGTTTGAAATGTAGGCCTACGCACGGCAAGTCATGGGTTTGTCAGGGAGGGAAGGGAGATGAAAAAACATACATTTTTACATTGTGCAGTTGTTGTACTTTTCACACCTTTGACAGACCAGCAGTTGGAATGTCAAAAGATATGATCTTTATTTGTCCCACAGTGGGTACATTTCAGTGTCATCGTAGTAAATAAGAGCGCTCAGGATAAGCACACATCAAACATTTGATTATTTAAGGTAATATATTACAGATAATAAACTCTTTTATCTAAGCTGAGCCATAGATTTTTAACTATAATTGCACTTGGGAGACCAAAATGAAGATGGTAATTGTAAGTTAGCCTTGATAGAAATATTCCAATGAAGTGTATGTTGAGCCAACAACTAGTTAAACAAAGCAACTCAGGTCATCTGCTATATCTTTGCAATCGCACTTCAGTAGTCTTGAGTAGAGGTGTTTGGAACATTGGTTATACAGCCTAAAACATATAGCTTCACAGATTTCGCTTTTTGCAGGTTATTTTTAGAGTGTAACCCCCAAAATAAACGAGGAATCTCTGCATATACCAACTCAACTTTTTTTCTTTTTCTTGGTTTTAGTGATGTACTGTATATTATCCAGAAAAAAACGATTTGACTGAAAATTTTCTCATGGAAATGTAAATCACAGTCATATCATATGCAGAACCAAGTTATATTTTTAATTACAATATATTATTGTATAATGAATTACAGATCAAATGATTTCTTCAAAGATATACATTTAAACTGGTGTATTTTGATGTGAAATTACAACAAGTGAATCAAGCAACTTTTCAACTTTTTGACAGAATATTAGTGAGAGAAGTTGAATCCGCAGCACTGGCTTTACTTGAGGCGAGATGGAGCGTCAACACTTTTTCTCTGTCCTCGTCAAAATATCGCAAAAGGACATTAAAAATTCTGTCCCCATTTTTTTTTTTTTTGACTTGTCAATGTTTGCACTTTGATCAACCGCAAATGATTTAATTAAATCTACCAGCGGTAGTGATATAGGTAGCAGGTTATTTTATGGGATAAAGCCACAGACTCTGAGCTTTAGGTCACAGACGCATGCCTAGTCTCAGTTGTCGCTGTAGCACCAGGTAAAGATGAAGTGTGGGAAAGTGCACGAACAGCTGCCTTGTGCAGTTTCGAGTTGGTGGCGAATCAAAACTGTTTTCCCATTACCCCTGTATAAAAATTTTTTATGCCAAAGTACGCACAAGCACCGGCCACCTTCATCTTTTTGCACTATGACCGCAACGAAATCCCATCGTCTCCCACCTCATCAAGCCATGGCCACCTCCATTTATTTTTCACTCAGTTATCAATTGCATCTCGTGCTCCTTCTTCCAAAAACAACAAATCCATGATTGTGATTGTGCGTGCATGCTAGGCTAGCTTTGATAAATGAATATAAGACGCGCTACGCGAACACATACACCACACCTTTCTTCAAGTTTCTTTTGTTCGCTCTTGTTTATTGGCTCTTTTATATCACGCTGAGTGTTGCATGCGGATTGCAACCAAGACATGTTTGCCCCCATTCCCAGTCCCAGCAAAGTCCGTATTGTACAATCCGTTAAATAAAATAGCATTGCGTTTGGTTAACGTTAATTAATTATGGCCTACCTTTCCTCTACAACGCGCCCAGTTTGTACCATGGGGCTGCTGGCTGGCTGTTATTGCTCCGTTCGGGATTCAATTTTCCTTCTCTTCTCCTTTTCAAAAGCTCCGTGCAGTTGCCAGAAACTTTCACCTCCGTGTTACCATTGCTAATTTAACCGCGTCTTACTTTGCGCGTGAGGTCAGCGTCCCAGTGCCTTTTTTCATTTGCGGAGCACCCAAGTAGCTATTGGCACGGCACATTCAAGTCCCACTCGTGATTATGTGATTATATTACTTTTTATTTATATATACATATAAATACAGACGGTCACTGGACCTGTTCTTCTTCTTGCTCCTACCTGTGTCTCAGGGATGATGGGGCTGTCTTCTTCAGACGTCTTATACAGCGTGGACAGCGGCGTAGCCAAGATGAGCGGGTTCGGGCGGAGCAGCCCAGTGAGGTAGCAGCTGGGGATGTCGTTGGCCTCCCTCTTCATCACCACTGTGTCCATCACATGAAACACGCCCCAGGGCAACCACACAGTGCGCCGCGCCCCGGGGAATGGAGCGCGCTCATAACTCAGCGTCAGGGAGGCGCCGCCGTTCGCCACAAGGTCGAACCTGGACACACGCAGAGGGAAAGGATATGTATGAGGAAAGTGTAGAAAATAACAAACGGCTTCACAAGTGCTGAAATATGAACACAGACTGTACAAAACCTCCTTTTTCTGAGATTTCACTGTGTTACAACACTGTTCCCTCAATACACACCCCGAGCTTTTTTTACGTCCACACTAATAGATAGATAGATCCCAAGGGAAATGGCATTCTCCAATTGCTCACATACATTAATGCATAAAATATTTCAAATAATGTAATCTAATAAAAAAGATTAAAAAGGAGGTAAAAAGCAAAAAACATATCCCCCACCTTCTATATACTTCAATGCTAACATGTAGTTGCATCACTGTGAATATTTGAACCCACAGACTTATTGCCTAAATATTCTTACACCAGTGCATATTACAGATTTTACTACAGCTGTATACATACAAGTATATATTTATTTGTACTTGGGTAAACAGGTTTATACCTTAATTGTGTATACGTTTTATACTGTTTATTTATGGAGCAAAATAGTACTCTACACGTGTAGTATTGTGACAGTAGTGGAGGTTTGATATACATACAGTATATTAGATGGGGCTTGATGTTTTTTTTAATAAGGGAACAGTGTTGTAGTTATGGTGTTAAAACTCCCAAAAAGACGATGTTGCATAATTTCATCCTTCATACCGCACATAAATCATGGGGAAACCAATTTAAAAAAGTGTGAGTTGCATTTCCAAATAAATGATTTGTTCTTTAACCAGGGGCTCTAGTTGTATTCATGAAAATTGTGATCACACAAGACTTTGACTCAGAGGGCGACCACTGACTTTACATTCAGATGCGTCTCCAGCCCGAGTTCCAGCCAAGTAAAGTTTCAAATACATGCCTTAAATCTTCTCATGGCCGAGAACTTTCTAGTCTGACTGATCAAGTGTTTTAAACCTCATCAAATAAACATGAACTTGTGTAGAACGATTCCTCCAGACCAGTTTAATCTGACATTATTCTGTGGTTAAAGTAGGCGTGCTGCACTGGCCACGTTTGGTTTGCAGTCTTGTGAGCGCACACTACTTTTAATTAGTGCGACATTACTCAGGGAAAAGTGTGTGTGTGAAATGAAGGTCGAGTCTTTGAAGTGGAGCTCTATATGTTCAGCACAAGTGGCACCGGAGGCGAGAGTGTGTGTGTGTGTGTGTGTGTGCGCGTGTGTGTCTGGGAAAGAGTCACTGTCACTATTCACTATATATCATATGTATATTTATCAAAGGGTTGAGTTTTAGGCAGTGTTGTGCGTGAACGAGTTCAAAAGAACGCGTTCATTGAACACGCTCATTTTTTGTGAACGTTGAACTGAACGCAACACATTTTTAAAAAAAGAACTTGAACGTGAATTAGTTCATTTTATGTGTCATGAACGGCATACATCACTATGAACGTTGGAATCTGTTTTCTCTTTTGAAACGCAACGAGAGAAAGTTCCTCCCTCCTGTATTCTCGCACTTTTTCCACCGAAATCTAAAAATTCCTACGGTTTCCACCGTCTGTGAACGCACCCCGACTCTGTGTTGCGGTGCGGCGCTGTGAGCTGGTGCTTTTCACATGTGCCCGAGTCGTGATGAAAACACAGGGTGAGTTAGCGACAAAGTTTACACCGTTTACATTTGACATAAAGTATAGACACACGCACTGCAGCGCATTACTGTCTGTAGTTTATGAGCAGAGATGGGGCAACTCCGTTTTGCTCCCATTGAAAACCATGTAAATCTGGTCTGTTTTGTGGTCAAAAGGCTCTCCTCCTGTGGGTGTACAGGATATATATACATATATACATATATGTATATATATACATATATATATATAGACATGTACTGTTGTACGTATACATTTATATTATAGCTCGTAGTGTGAAAAAAAAGTATTTGACTATTTCACAAAAAAAGTAAAATGAACTGAACTTTGAACTAGTTCAGAATTAAAATTGTGAACTTTGAACGTGAACTGTTCACTTTGAGCATGTATGAACTGAACTTGAACTAGTTCAGAAAAGTTGTGAACTGGTACAACACTGGTTTTAGGCAAGGAAAGGCAAGTTTATAAGTGTAGCACAGTCAATACGCAAGCCCTTAAAATCATAAATATTCACAGAACATAAAAAATACGAGATAAAATCCTTCAGTTATATGCACAGATAAACAGAAATATTTTAACCTGGATTTGAAAATAGTCAGTGTAGTTGCAGTCTCACATTTTCAGGAAGACTGTTCCATATGTTAGCTGCATACATCTGAACTGTTGCCCCCCAATGTTTTATCCTGACTCTGCGCACCACCAGGAGGCCAGTCCCTGTGCTCCTCAGAGTCTGTGTTGGTTCATATGGCACTAACATGTTGCAGATGTACTTCGGTGCGAGGCCACAAAGAATATACTCTCTGAGCCACGGGAAGCCAGTGCAGAGACCTGAGACCAGGATTAGTGTGATTGGATGTCCTGGTTCTAGTCAGGAGTTTTGAAAATACTGGAGCTGAAGTACATCCATTATGCCCCGTGTATCACTATTTGACTTGTTGGGCTGACAGCTGAGTGAGGGTGGTCCTTTTTTTGCCTGAAAAATCAAAGCTTCAAATGTATTAAAAAGCAATTAAAATGACCAAAATGCATGCATGTGAAAACTAGTGATGGAACAGTTTTGAAAGCCAGGTGGATGTTTTCATTGTTTATTATTTGGGCATTTGAAAGTCAGGTCACCTTTAAAACAAGTACTAAATGGCTCCCAATCCAAGGCTACTTTATTACAATTCACACTTTGTCTCCCAAACAGTAAAACCAGTGACATCAAATAAGCCTTTTTTATTTTCTCCTTTTATTTGCATGAATATATCTGGGCAGCGCGCTCTGATGATCCCGGAGCAGTGATGAGGCCGTGGTCACAAGGGTTTCAGGACTTTGCCGAAGAGTCTCCTAATCCTCTCGGCCTTTCATTCCCAGCTGAGCTCCTCTCTGTCTGTTCCACGCTGACGGCGCATAAGCACGAGCTCCCCAAACAGTTTTACCTACACTCCTCCATATTTTATTATCCTGCTATTTAAGGACTGCTTTCTGGGGCACCGCGGAAAGCTATCTCACAAGCGCTGTTCACTGCTTTTGGCCTAATCAAGAAATGTAAAATTTGATACAGCCGTCAACAATAGATTTAATAAAGTTTGAGGAATGATTTTCTGTTCCCGTGTAAATTTGCACAAACTAACTAAGAGCAAAGAGATCCATAAGACTTGGTGCTGCTGTTACATGAACTTGCCTAATAATGTACAGTACTTGCTGGATTATTTAACGCACCTCTATAAAAACAACACAAACTGAATTTGAAAAGCAAGCACATTTTTCCATGTATTTGCAAAACTTAATTATAAGCCACAGGTTTTCATGTTGTAATGTAAAAGACAGCTATTAGAACCATAGCAAAAACAAAGCCAATAGAAAACTGCTTTAACTGGTCCCAACAGGATTTGATAATGAGGTGTTTTTTAACGCGATGTTGACTTGTTACGGACAAAGCACTCTGGGAAATAACACAATGAGGAGGCATATATTAATTGTTGGCTTCCATGTCGGGACCAGTGGGGAAGGGTCCCATGCGTTGACATGCTTGCAATTTTACTCCTAGCCGGTAGGGGTGGACCCGGAAAGAGAATTACCCAATGCTTTTGTACGACGTCTTCTTTGCTCTTGAAAACGTCTATGCTACGTTTCAGATGTGTGTCAATGCCGAGGGGAGTATGTTTTTTTTGACCAGTCTAGTTTAGCCACTGTGGACTTCAGAAGGCACTAGTTGAATTGATGGGGCTAGTGCCGGCTAATGCATGCGCAAATGTGTTTTTTCACATTTTCCTGCCATTTTGAAAAAGCCTCACAGAGAGAAAAAGTGGTGGCGATAGGTGTGACTACGTCCGTTAATATTTACAGTCTACTAAACCTGGATGAATTGAAAATAACACATCCATAATAAGTCTGTTCTGACAACGATCCTATTATTTTGTTCATCTCCTAGTGGCTGCTCTATCTGCTGTTCACATAAAAATAAACCACAGCTGATAGCGGGGTGTCCCAGAAGATGCTTCACCATAATAGAAATACTTACATTGGCCACAGGGTTTTAAGAAATGTAGCGGCCTATAGTCCGGCAATTACGGTATATCTGCGCAGTACTTTTCCTCTGTTACTGAAGAGGCATGGACAGTAATAGCAGGAGAAGGTCAGACAGTAATCCCATGTTTTACTACACCAGCAGCAGATTGATTCTTGCCGTGCTGATTCAATGCATTTTAAACAGCCTCTCCAGCTCGCTGACATTTGCATGAGGAATTGTTCCCGGGAACATTGTGCGCTTGCTTTTCATTTGTTTTGTTTGGGATAAGCAGCAATACAAGTCTCGCATTGTTAGATGGGCAGATTTTTCATTGTCACGGAGCAAGTGGGCATTGTGCGGGCAGCAGCCTTGTGTTTACTATTCACACATGTAATTATGTCCACATCTCAGAGCTGCACAGTATGTTTCTCTATACTCTTCACTTTTGACAACAATATGCTATTTTTTGGCAATGATAACAATAACTTCTAAATCTTCAATATATTGAAAAAATATTGGAAAAAACACAAATTACTTGATTCTGTTGGTTATTTACGATTCTCCTCGACCATCGAGATGTTTTAAGCATTGTATAACTTTTAAGCACTGTATAACTTTTCCATACATCTGCAGTTTGTCTTTCAAAATCAGGAGACAAACCGCATTTTACGAATTATCGACCCGACTCCCTTCTGCTGATGTTTTCCTAGACACTGAATAAAATGTTTCACATACACTCTAGGGGTCTATGGGAAACATTGGAACCTTTTGTTGACGATGGTCAATGTTAGTTTGGGCAAAGTAGATCTACTTCATTTACTAGTTAATGTGGATTACAGATGGTATCAAAGAAAATTCATTTTGTATTGATCTTAAAAATGTATATGATTCCATTGATTATTGTATCTTAAAAAAAAAAATTAATTAAACTGCAGGACTTAATGAACTCAATGAACTGCACGTATAATGTACGAGGCATCTGCCACCTTAAGTACAAAACCTATTCCGTGATAGAGATGCTCACCATCAGTGCAGTGCAGGAGTCAAAGCAAGTGGTGTACGTGGCTGAATTTGCAGCTGCTTTGGGATAAATGTGTATCTCAGTATGAGGAGTCTTTGGAACAGTCTACTCAATTACTTAAACACATATTGAACAATGATTCTGTTATAAACGTTTATTTTTATATCCTGTTAACTGTTTTTTGTCAGTTGAAAAACAGAACTACTATAGTTAGTTCTCAGTCACATAGTGTTTTCATAAGCTTGCATTGAGGGTAATACTGTAAATCGCACTGGCAACAATAGACATGACTGGTTAATTCACTAGTAACTTTGTCACTAGTCACTTTACCTGTTATTCTTATTACTGCATACGGGACTTTAACGTGTAAAAAATTAGCACGTTAAAAAAATCTACGCATTTTAATCGCATGTGTTTTTTGCATCGCAGAACATTTTTGTTCAAAAGTACATTATAACAAGCATAGACCAACTTTAGCGGTGTCTAAATCTGAGTGAGTATGAGACGGGAAAGAGCGCTGTGTATGGAGCAATGGACTCTGTGTGTGTGAGGAGGAGGAGCAGCGACTCCTGTGTGAGCGGAGGAGGAGCAGCGACACAGGTGTGTGAGCTGCTATTGTTGATGTGTTAGTTCGAATGCACACATCGAAAACGTATTATAAGCTTTAGTGCTCACTGTGAGTGCAGTGGATTTTGGGCTTAAAAAGCGTATGTTGTGGACAGAGTGTGTGGAGGCAATGACAGACGTTATTTGATGGGAAAGAAGTCCGTCTGATCATCCACAATGAACATGTGTTGCTTAAGCTTATGTAGTCAGTCATTATTCAATGGTAATCTAATGTGAAAAAATATTTATATGCGATTAATTGCAATTCATTAATCACAAAGCCTCTAATTAATTAGATTCATTTTTTTAATCGAGTCCCAGCCCTAATTATTACTGATATCTGATCTGATATTCTGCTCATATTCTCCGCTGCTTAAGAACAATATAGACATCTGTAAATTCTCCTGAACCAAGTGTTTAGCTTATTTTAATTATATTGTCTATCTTAAAGAAGCTATACCCGATAGTTCATAAAAATGCTTTTTACTACATACAAGTTGTATCATAATACATAATTTAATTGAAAACTTGAGGTCATTGATTCCACTATGTATGAAATTCAGGCAGTGAAAAGTGCTGAGTAGAGTCTGAGCCGCTCGTTCTCCTCCGCTCACAGAACGAGCAGCGAACAGCCTGCGTCCTCTAGCCTCTACAGCGCTGCTTAACACCAGGGCTTCGACTTCAAAATTCGAATATAATTCTAAAATAAAAAATATATACATATTTGAACAATTATTAGACAACCCTTATAATTAGAAATGTATTTAATGACTGCAAATAAAATAGTTAGCTCCCAAAGGTTTCACCGGGACGTGCTAGGCAGGTAACGGCTAAGCTAGCTAGTTGTTTCATGGTTACTTCCGGGTTTTTCGCGATCGCTTTTTGTCACTTTAAAACAGTATTTTTGTCATGAAAACGTTGACAGCAAATTCTGAAATCGTCCGTGCATGTGTGTTAAGGATGTATATGTATAATGTATTGTCCGATTAACGTTTAATGGTGTTGATTGATAGATATGTAGTTGTTTATTGAGCGTGGCTAGCTCCGCTAGCTTCTCTACACAGACAAGTGTGCAGAAAACTGCACAATGTAGTGACAGGCGCTGATAGCTTGTTGTACTTGCAAAGTAATGGCAGTATTTTACACACCTGAATTACAAACAGAGATTGCATTGGTGCTGCGGTCATTATTGGTTTGAGAGTTCTGTTATCAAGAAAAAATGATCGGTAGAATTACATTCAAGTCAATGGAGTGCTGCCGCTGTGAGGAGCTGTATAATAAATTATAATTAAATATTAGAATATATTCTAATGTTTAAATTAATACATCCGGACGCGAAACTAATGGTATTCTTTTACTTATATATTGTGTTAGCAGTGCATTGCTTTAGTACCATTTCATCAGTGATTGTTGTACAGCTTACAAGTTGCGCTAATGCTAATGTTAGCATATGTATCAGATCGCAAATAAACTAGGTGGCTCCGTGTTATGAGAGCGTAGGGGAAATGAGAAGCCTGTGAGCGAGTTGGGGGGCGGTGCTAAACATTCAAACATTGTAGAAACGGGTATAGCGCCTTTAAATAATAGACTATTTGATGTGTGCAATCTGAGTGTTCCTATTTCCTTCTTTCTCTGCTGTAATGTGCGCAACGATGACACTGACATTTCTCTACTGTGAGACGAATAAACTTATCTTATCTTATCTTACCCCTATGTGACTGCTGCCAATAATTCAATTCCAGAAACAATATTTCAAGTTCTAAAATTGCTGCTTTCACACAATTGCTGCTTTTTGACTACATGTCTTTCTTGTTTCTTCTTATGACCATGATGTGTGTTCGCGTAGCTCCACACAGGACATGTAAAGTTCACAGGGCTAACGTTGGCGTGCAGACGTGCCCCTGTTTGTTTGGACTTGCTAATCTGTGTTTAGAGATGCAGCTTTAGTGCTGCGTGCGGTAGTGCCCTAGTGTGAGTGCGTGTGTGTCTGCAGTCTGCACAATAGGGCATGCGGTAGTGTGTCTGTGTGTGGTGGTATGTGTGCCTGTGTTTTACTTACATGCCGTCCTGCCGGGTGATTGTGTATCCATACTCAGGATAATGTAGAAAAGACACGTTGACTCCGATAAGCGGCGTCCCATCTCCAGTGAGAACCTGACCCCTGATGACCGACGCCAGGCTGCACACACACAAACAAACAATGAACATACATTAAAAAGACATACATATGTATTTTTATCCAACCTTAAAGAAGGTCCTCACTCTGTCATCTAAATAACAGAGTGAGTTACTTCATCCATGAGAACTTCCCTATTGGGTTTCATTGTGCGAGTGGCTTAGCATTGTCCGTCTATGTACAGCCTATGACCAGAACTGAAAGACTAACATTTTTTTAATGGCTAAATCTGCACTACCAGTGACCACTTTGTGTCCAGAATCACACATAAATTCAGGGATTGTCAAACAAACATAAAGCTGCATTAAATTGATTCTAAGGTTAAAAACTATATGTAGTTTGTATCTTGGTATTTTTAAGGGACAGGGAGGACTCGATCTGTGGGTTTTGGGGGTTTTACAAAGAATGCTCACACAGAGGTAACGGGCACACAAATGCTATAGCAGTGGTTCCCAAAGTTGGGGTCGAGAGATGATTTCCGTTAACACAAATACAAATAAAGTGGAACAAATATATATCCATTAAATATTTTGTTTGCAATTGATTTGATTCAATATGACTACTTGTTAAATTGTGCTTTGAGAAGAGTCTGATAAAAAATATAATATATTTTCAAAATTAGTCCCAGACATTAGGAGATTACGACAGTGTCAATCAAATCCAAGTTACTAGCTTAGATAGCACGCAGAAACAAAACATGTCCTGCTGTTGTTTTCTAAAGCTAAAGGTGTTTGGAGGCTACAAACAAATAATACCTGCTTTAAAATGAAACGGGGTAAATATCCACAACAGAGAGGCTCGCGTCGTGCGCCTGTGTACACACTGGGCAGAGCGCACAGGGACTTTGATGCTGTCTCTGTCTAGTCTATGGAGAAGTGTAACGGAGAGAACGGGCCAGAGAACAAATACATGCTTTACTTTTAATGAGATGGGAAGGGCTGTTGAGGTAGGGTGAGGGAGGTGGGGGGCAGCAGTGCAATTATCATGGGGATGAGCAAGATGGCGCCGGGTCAGGGCGCCTCAGTAAAAGCTCTGGTGTGCACTGTCTGTTCTATGTTGTTTTTCGTCTGTGATACACTTGCCACCGTGAAGTACGACCGGGAGACACTTCTCTACATTCGGGACCAAGCTTGTGGAGTATCGCAGGTCTTACCCGAACTGAGGTGCTTGGACTTTATTGAGTGCCCCACTCGTGAGGCCCGTCAGACATGGCAGGCGGGCCGCGGCAATGGCCGCGAACAGAGCGGGGGGACTGGGCGTCTCTGGCGTGCTCTCCGCGGTGTGGAGCAGGGTACCGGGAGCCGACGCAGGAGGCGCAGACACCGGGGAAAACGAGGCGGTCTGCTCGTTCGTAGCCGCTCCTCCAGGACCCCTTTGCCCTCCATCTACCTGGCCAACGTCCAGTCTCTGCCCAACAAGACGGACGAGCTTCTGTGTCGGGTCCAGTGCCAGCGAGAGGCCCGAGACTGCGCTGTGTTCTGCCTCAGCGAGACGTGGCTCCATCCAGGCGTCCCGGACTCTGCTGTTCAGCCCCCGGGATTCACCGTTCACCGCGCGGACAGAGATAAGGAGACCACGGGGAAATCCAGAGGTGGAGGTGTGTGCTTTTTAATTAATCAGCGCTGGTGCACGGATACTCGCATCGTGAACCAAACATGTACTGCCAATCTGGAATGCCTGGTCTTGAGCTGTCGCCCTTTTTATCTTCCGCGGGAGTTTTCTGTGATATTTTTATGTGCTGTTTACATCCACCCACGAGCGGACTATACTGTAGCACTACAGGATCTGAGCGAGATCCTTCATAAACACGAGTCTGCTCATCCTAATGCAGTGATTATTGTCGCTGGGGATTTTAACAAATGTAATTTAAAGACTGTACTCCCAAATTTCTACCAACATGTGACTCGAGCTACAAGAGGAGCACAGATCCTGGATCACTGCTACAGCAATGTGAAGGGAGCTTACAGGTCCAGTCTCAGACCTCCATTTGGAAAGTCCGACCACACCTCTGTTCTCCTTCTTCCCTCATACACTCAGAGGAGCAGGGAACATAAACCAACCTCACGCACTGTGCAGTGTTGGTCTGAGGAGGCTGGCATGAAGCTACAAGGGTGTTTTGATGCCACTGACTGGTCTGTGTTTCAATCAGAGGATGTTAATGAATTCTGTGACGCTGTGACTGGATACATACGCTTCTGTATTGACTGCTGTGTCCCACAGAAGGTCATTAAAGTACATCTCAGTCAAAACCCTTGGATGAACGCGGAAGTGAAACAAAAACTTCATGAGCGTGCTCTGGCTCCAATCTAACGATACAGTCGCCTATAAGCTATCCTGTTATGCATTGAAACGTTCTATTAAATCTGCAAAGCGCAGTTACGGGGACAGGTTAAAGGGTTATTTCAAGGAAGATGACCCTCGGCGCATGTGGAGCGGTATTAAAGCCATCACGTCCTGGAAACCTAGTGCCGGGAAAATCGGATCTGTTGGCCCAGCTCTGCCTAATGAGCTGAACTCGTTCTACTGCCGCTTCGAATCTGCTGATGCCTGTCCTACTGTCTTTCCTGATTGCCTCAATCAAGGGGCGTTCACCGTGACTCAGGAGGCAGTCCAGCGGGTCTTGTCCAGCACCATTGTCCGGAAAGCCCCAGGCCCGGACGGCATCCCTCCTCGTGTCCTGAAACTGTGCTCTGAGCAACTTGCCCCTGTTTTAACAGACATTTTTAACCTGTCGCTAAGGGACTGTGCTGTGCCGAACTGCTTCAAAGAGTCGACCATTATCCCAATTCCTAAGAAAACTCCTGTGACATGCCTTAATGACTATCGTCCTGTGGCCCTCACTTCTGTCCTAATGAAGACTTTTGAGCGGCTTGTGTTGGACTTCATTAAGAGCCAGATCCCTGTGAGCGTTGACCCGCTCCAGTTTGCTTATAGACAGAATAGGAGTGTGGAGGATGCCATCTCCTTTGCTCTGAACTCTGTCTACAGTCACTTGGACAATAGGAAATCTGTTGCAAGAATGCTGTTCATTGATTATAGCTCTGCTTTTAATTGTCTTGTCCCAGGTATACTGATTGAAAAGCTCATGTCTCTCGGCTTAAGTGTTGCCATGTGTAAATGGATTTTTAGCTTTTTAACTGACAGATCTCAGAGAGTGAAAATCAATGACTGTTTTTCAGATGTTGTTTCTGTGAGCACTGGTTCTCCTCAGGGATGTATTTTGAGTCCTTTACTTTTTACACTGTACACTCATGATTGTGTGTCTTCCTCAGACTCTAACCTGATCATCAAATATGCTGATGACACCACCATCATCGGTCTCATCAGTAATAACGATGAATCGTCTTATAGAGCCGAGATCCAAAACGTGGTTCAGTGGAGTATGGCTAACAACCTCCAGCTGAACGCATCCAAAACATGCGAACTGGTCTTTGATTTCAGTCGCAATAGTTCTCATTTGCCTGTCGCAATCGATAACTCCCAAGTGCAGATTGTAGAGGAGTGTAAGTTTCTGGGTCTAACTCTGTCTAATGACCTGAAATGGGTTAAAAACACTGACCGAGTCGTTAAGAAAGCTCGTCAGCGTCTCTACTTCCTGCGGAAACTTAGAGAATTTACCACTAACTCTAAGATTCTGCTGAACTTTTATCGCTGCACCATTGAGAGTTTACTTGTTGGTTCTGTGTCTGTGTGGTTCGGTAACATCACAGATAAAGAAAAGAGAGCTTTAAACAAGGTGCTCCGCTCTGCTAAGAGGACTGTGGGCTGTGAACTTCCTGTCCTGGAGGCTCTTTATCAATCCAGACTTTTTAACAGTGCCCTGAGAATTATCAATGACTCTTCTGGCCACCCAGGAAAAGCCTTGTTCCAGCTTCTTCCCTCTGGCAGAAGATACTGTTCCCTGAGATGCAGGACATCTCGTTATGCAAATAGTTTTTTTCCACGAGCGGTTAACAGTCTGAATAGAGCACTTTAATGTTTTTTTTTTTTTGCACTCGTACAGATCTGTTTTAAGTTGGTCAACTTCACGGTGACATTTGTTTACTGTTTTTTAAAATGTGTTTTATTTTTGTCTTTTAATGTTGTTTTGTGTCTGTACTTGTCCTGTGCACACTGGGAACTCATACAAATGTATTCCAATGTGGTGTTACTGCAAATGGCATAATAAATGAATCTGAATCTGAATCTGGGGGTCGTGGAATAAAAACTGTGGGAAACCCTGTGCTATAGGACCACCTCTCATCCCTAGGTTTCCTGTACCTCAGTAGCAGGTGTTCATGAAACATCTGCCGAGCACTGCTTCTGTGTCTCGGTTTACTCCATTTAAAAAGACATAATTCAAGTAAATGAGCCACAGGAAACACTAGGCCGTCGTCTGTATCGTGCGCACCATCTTGAACGTTTATTGCAGCGTTTCTTTATTCCTCTAGGAAATATAAATGGGTGTGCTTGAATTCAGACTTGAGCCCATTTCTAATAAATATGCTGTTATGCAAGCTATTATGCAAAGACAGGACGTGGCACACAAAGCCAACTTTAGCTCTTAAGGCAAAGTAATTTATGACACCGGGAGGAAAACGGGCCTGAGCAAAATGCAGGGATTTATAGCAGACTGCATAAAGTGTAGAGAATGTTATATTTGTTTTATCCGACACAAAATCAGGGCACATGTGTTTTCTCAAAGGCTCGTCCAGAGATTTATGCGAAAAAACAACATGCACTATGAAAGGCATCAATAATTTCAACTTGTTGGGGATGTATGACGCAGAAATGAAAGAAGAAAGTGTTTCTTAAAGCTGCACTAACTGACTTCATTTTTTAATTCATTACGAAAATTAAATCCATATCCATGCAGTGCATTGGGATATACATCCTTTTGAAGAAAAAGTAGCACAGATTTGTGCTGGCGCGTCATTTAATTTTAGATCGAGTTTTTGTGAAACAAGAAAGAGGATGTGTTTCGGGTCCCGATTGTGACCAATCACAGCGGACCACTGGCCCCC